TTTTCTCCGCTCTTCAATCCTTTGGGTTCTTTCTCATCTCACCTCATATTCAGAAATCAAAACATACTCAAAATGGCTGAAGCTCGTTACATTGGATGAATGTAAATCATCTCCAAATGCCAATTTAACAAGGAACATCGAAGCTGACACAGAACGGTCTTCCCAGGCTTTTTCAGAGATTGTTCGTGGGCCAGCAGACATTGTATACTTGTGTCTTGCCTTGTCCAGGAAACCGGACTATGCAAGAAGGATCTATTAAGAGACATTCTAAATCTGAAAATCACATCCGACATTTCACAAGATGGTCTTCCCAACGCATTGCAGCTTCCAACTTGATATCTTTTGAAGATGATGCAATCGCACCCGATTCACCTCCAGCAAATGCGATGGATGGTATTATCTCCAATCATCTTAATATGGATAACCAAGAAATTGAAATTGAGATCGATAACCTATCTGATGTTGATAAAAATTATCATCGGCGTTGGGCTCTGGTCGACCTTTGGACACGAGATTATTCACATCTTTTTGAAGATCCAGCTCATAGTCTGGATGGTACCAACGATGATGAAGAAAACGATTCAATGGATGACCTTGATGAAGATGATGAAAAAGGAACATCATCCACCTCAGATGAGGAATCTACACAAGAAGAGATGTTCACCAAAAAGCAGGATTCGTCTTCCTGGGCTCCTTTCTCCAGCTTGGAGGTTAGTCGTTTTATCTATAGCATTCAGTGTATTGTTTAACTTTTATTGCCACAATCAGGAACTTGTGGGAATGTTGATTCTCGGCTCATCCAGGACTATCATGTCTTTACTTCAATATGAACGAGTTTGTTCGTTTGTTGGGCTTCTTGGTGTCAAACTTCCAGCATACAAAACTCTTCAACATGTACGCCGAGAATTGAAGAAGCGATTCGATTTTGATGTCTCCGAGGGTCTCAGTCCCTTGGAGAAACCTTGTTTTGGACTAAAAATCAAGCAAATTTTGACTCAAGTGAACCTTTTCCACTTTAATTTGATGAAATCAATTCCTACATTAACATATGTAAATCTCTTTCCTATTAATAAGGAGTTAGCCAATCCTTACGTAATGGAACATCTTGAATTTATGCCTGAATTACCTACCTTAACATCCAAAGTACACCGTTTTACCCAGTCAAAAAAATGGCGAGAAGATCTAGATACCGATCTACGGGTCCAGATGATCGAGTCACCCAATGGGCACTTCTTTTTACATGAGCCAGTCCAACTTAAATCAAAGAGACTTGTAATACCAAAGTATTTCTATTGAATCAACACTCAAGTATTTGCAAAGTGTGTATTCACACATCAGGTTGTTGGTAAGGGGCCTGAAGGCCAGCAGCAGATCCGTGTAGAATATCCATCAGCTTTATCCTTCGATTCACCAAATCTAAAGTCGATCAATGTGGATTTTTTTTGGAAAGTATTCAACAATATTGAAATGAGGGATCATAGTCTAATGAAAAACCACTGTGGGAATTTCATGTATGGTAAGTCTTCACAAATAACATATTTAGTTGCAACAAAGGAACTCATTCAAGATTTTAGAGGACATCAGTGGTGGGAAATTTTCTGAAATGCCAATACAAAATCAATGGCGAAAAAAAGCGGGTGACAGGATCATTCGCCATGTGCCTTTGGTCTTGTATTGTGATGACCTGTCAGGAAACATTTCAAAACGGTGGAACAAGCACCTGGCTTTCTATTTTAATCTGGCCGGATTACCCTCAAAATTTGCAAATCTAGAATACAATTGTCACTTTCTGACAACATCAAATACAGCAAGCGCTTTGGAGCTCGCTGATCCTGTGGTTGATTCAATAAAGTAAGTGACTTGTTGGCGATTCTGTCTTTTGATAATATAATCTAACAATAAATTGTTCTCCTCAGTGAACTGACTACAAATGGTTTTGTGGCATATGATGACCGGGTCAAGAAAGAAGTCTTAGTGGTTCCATTTGTTTTATGTCATTTAGGAGACTCACCAATGCATGCGGAAGTGACCAATACAATGAACCCAACTGTCTCGCTTACTCCATGCCGAATTTGCGACTTGAGGGTAAATTCACTGGCAGATAAAAAATCAAAGAAATATGTCAGTAACTTCCTGGGACTTGATGAGGACGGGCATAAGGTAGCTTTCAGTTTTTCACACTCTCACAACTGGTTTCTTTCATGACTCATTCATTCTACTCTGTGTTCTGTTTAAAGCTGTCTTTACCCAAAAGAGACTGGTCAAAAACTATAAAAAAAACAAAAGAGCTCTGGGAACTAGCGCAACGGCCAGGGACCCTTAAAATGTTTGACAGTGAATCGGCAAAATTCGGAATTTGGGATCAGCTGAATATGACATTTGTAAGAAAGGTTCAAGAAATGCATCGTAATTCATCCTTTTCAAAAGAGGAAGTAGAAAAGGTCTGCCGTGAACTTAACGAAGAATTTGATGAAAAATTGTTCAATCCATTTCTGCGGTTGAAAGGTTGATTTCTGTTTTTTTGAATCTATATTCTTTCATATTTTATCAAACTGATCATTTTGATCAACCTGCTCACAGGATTTGATGGCCATCAGGACACCCCAATCGAGATCCTTCATGTGGTGCTGTTGGGAGTTGCAAAATACCTTCTCCGTAATTGAATGAAGTTGTGTTCAGCAAAAGAAAAGGAAGGAGTTTGGGGTAGATGGAGATCATTCAATACTTCTGGATTGAACATTCCTCAATTCAGCCAAAAAGCATGATTACTC